TAGCCCTAGAGACCAATTGAATTTCGGTTTTCCGCCATAACCATAATCAGCTGATATCTGAAGTGCGAGTAAGAACGTGTTGGCAGAAGTTCAAAAAAAAAAAATATTGTTCACAGCCCACTTTTTGGCATAAGTGTAGAATATGCACCATTTAGCTATGCAAAAACTAATAGATAGATACGATAGAACTCCTCACACTGATTAAAACTGTATCAAAATTATTTGACGCAAAAATATAAAGGGTAAATTAATTTTTATTTTTTATTTTTTAAATATTAATATCTTATGAATTACATAACTGATTAAAAACTAATGATGTCAAAATAAAGTTAATTAGTGTATCTTTCAGTGATGTACATAATTTATATGCTTTTTATATTTAAATCGAAAAATACTAAAAAAAACCGAACAAAATCGTATTTTTTCATAAAGTAACCTTTTTCATAATTACTTCAAAAGAAATTTATATTATTAATAAAGTCCAAGCTATTACGTTTAATTTGATGTGCATATTTTAGTATGATCTGCTGTTGAGTTCTTATAATTTAGTGTTAATTTAGTGATAATGAAAGAAGTTCTGCGCAAATATACTACGCTATTGCCCATTTTCCGGGTTTTGTTCCGCGTCTGGCAACACCGACATTATTGACTACGAAAACTCAGCTCTTTAGGGTTATGACACCTAAAACCGATGATAATTAATGTAGTTCATCTTCTGATCGGCGGCATAAAAGAGCAATATCGAATAATTCGAACTCTCTTCGAGGCAATCGAATCATAGCAGTATAATTTCTCGATTGCCCCCCAGGGTGAGACTGGCTACCGATTACATACGACCTGAAGTAGAAGACCTACGGGGGGTCATTCTGCCATTGAGTGCCGACTGGGACGAGAAAATTGATATTTGCTACACAAATACATATGTACATATTAGCCACCTTCGATTCGCCACTTCTCTGCTCACTATATTTAAGTTCCGCTCGCTTAACGAATAATTTTTATGTGAAAACAAAAATAATAATTAGCAAGCAGCGATGAATATTGGCGAGCTTGATGTAACTCATTAGTTTCATTCTCTTCGCCGCTCGCTAAGTTCTAGCTCATTAAATATATAAATGGCTATAATAATTACGTTAAAATCCGCGTACATATGCATACCCTAAAACGAATCTTTTGGCTAAATGCGAACTTCACTTTCTATATATGACATTTTTGAATATTCTTTAATTAGAACTGGTTTGAAAATCCACTTAATTAGTTTAAAACGTATGACTATTTTCATTATAAACTATAAAATCGATCAACTCGTAATCGAGGCAAATGGGATAGTAAATGAGCGATCATTATATGTACATACATAGAACCGAAAACATACACTTATGTACATATAACTAGGTACGACTAAATACATATGTGCCGGTGACGTACTTAATGCTTGATTTTCAGTATCAAGTTCGCGGTTTTACCCCTTTTTGTTTATTGATTATTATTACCGCCATTTGGTTTGCAGAAAAGTAGAACGGGAAAACCCTTAAATTTTATGCTACATAAGTTACCTGATATACAAGGTGGTCCATATATCGTTTTTTTTTCTGATCACATGTTATTTTAATAGTGACAGCTCGCTCCCGCTGGAAATCTTATCCGAAAGTCTTATTTCATGTATTTTGTTATGGTTTTAGTATGGTACATACTAGGGTGATTGACTCGCTTTTTGCAAACCGGTCAACCGGTGTGTTTTTATATTTTTAAGCGGTTTTTTGAAAACTTGATTTTTTGAATACTCAGTAAACCAGATTTTTAAAATCGAATAAACCGTTTTCCAGCAATTGCCACGCCCATTTTTAGAGGTTTGTCACTTAAAGAAAAATTTTGCCATACAAATATTATATCTCGATAGGTATTCTATCGGAATCCGTAATAAAATTTTACACGCAATCTTACTCCAACGAAAAAAATCTCCAAAATTGGACTAGTCCAGGACTATCTTACGGCCAGTGTTGATTGCTAATTTAACAATATTGCAATGCCAAAAATGGCAGTTGAAACCATCATCGAAGGCCGACATTTTCGATGCAAGCAAATGTCCAATTCTGACCAGTCAAATTTTAATCAGTGAAGTACTAGTCCTTAACGGACAATTGGCCGCCTTATTGCTGCAGGGTTGTAATTATGTACATGCAAATGTATGCGCAAGTAAAAATTACTTAAGCAGTAAAAGCAGTGTACAAAGTATATATGTATTTTATAGTACCTCTATGCTTACAATTTATTTATAAGCAATGTGGTCTGTATTGTCACTAGAGTAAAAAATAAAATGTAATAAAGATAATAAAGGTAGCGGTTAAATGAGTACCATAAGAGTGAAATAAATATTTCAAGTTCAAGTTTTATTATAAACTACATTTGATGGGTAGATTCAAGTACGTACATAGAAGTAAGTATAAACAACAAAGTTGTAAACGCATGTCTGGGTGTTATTGAGTAATAAATATTGACATTTCGTTGGAGAGTCTAGATATGAATGAATGCATGTATGCAGATCAGACGTCTGATAGTTGATTTTTTAATTGAAAATTGAAATTCAATCACACTAGATAAATACCTATGTACATAACAACGTTTTAAGTGCGAAAATTCCGCATACATTTTTGGTAGTTTAAAGCAAGACCAAAATTTTTGCTAAACTAAAAAAGGACTTAAATTATCGGTCATGTAAAATCTGGCTTTAACTCTTTTTACATTTAAAAACTGAAAAACTGGTCAAACGTTTTTATAATTTAAAATTTAGGCATAATTATTTGTCTCTTTTTAAATTACCAAAAATTCATATCCAGTTTTCATATAGGCAATAAACTTTGCTTAGTTTCTTAATTAAAATATTCGACGCCCATTTTCTAAGGCATAAAAGATGAATTTTTCAAGGAATATTCCTAGTTTTGAAATGACCTACCAAACATTTTTTTACAATTTCGAAGCGACCAAATTGTATTTTTCGTTTTTAAATTAACAAATCTTTATGTCCAATAAATAACAAAATTTTTTTTAAAATTATAAAAAAATTATTTCTATTTTCGTTATTTAAAAAAAAATACAAAAATTTATTTTAAGTCCATTTACTAAATGTTCAAAAATTTCTTAAATGAGGATTCCCAGTTCGGAATTTACTAAAATCGAACGCCCAGTCCTTAAAAGACAAAATTTTGTTTCCAAATTTTAAATTGCCTAATTTTTATGCCCAGTTTACAAATTACAAAAGAAACTATTTTTAATTTTGAAGGTCACCCAAATTTATGCCCAGTTTCTAAGATGAGCAAAATTAATACAATTCAATTTAAAATTACGAAAATTTTTTTTCATATTCAGTTTCCAATACCAAAAAAAAATATGCCTAAAGAAATATGTCCAGTTTTTAAAAAACAAAAAATTTATGTACAATAACCAAAATTTTCATATTTAGTAGACGACAAAAATGTTTTAAATGACAAAAAACTATGTTCAGTTTAACAATTTTTAAAGAGAAATATGTATGTCCAAGGCTTCATTTTATGTTCATTTACTAGATGACCAAAAATTAAGTCATAAGAAACATTTCCGATTAGCAAAACTTGATGTTTAGTTTTTAAACAACCAAATTTTTAATTGCTAAATTTTTATGTCGTATTTTCAAATTACAAAAAAAAATATTTTTACTTTTTAAGTCACCCAAAATGTATGCCCTGTTTCTAGAAAATCAAAATTATTATATTAAATTTTAACATGGCCAAAAATTTATTTTTTATCCAGCTTCTTGTAACAAAAAATGTATGCCTAAAGAATTATGTCCAGCTTTTAAACTACAAATATTTATATTAAGTTCTTAAATAATATATTTAATTTTTTTCTATGGCCAAAAATTAAAAATGGCAAAGAATTAGTTTCAGTTTTACAACTAACAAAAAATATGTACATATATTTTTTAAATTACTAAAAATTTATGTGCAGATTTTAGATGTCAAAACTTTAAGGTCCAGTTTTTTAACGCAAAAAATATTTTAAATTAACAAAACAAAAGTGAGCCCAGTTTTACAATTACAAAAAATTCTGAAGATTTTTATCAAGTTTTTAAATACCACGTCCAGTTCTCACATTACTGTAAATTAATAATCAGTATTTAAATAACCAAATTCTTATACTTAGTTTGTAACATCTGAAAATGTCTAGTTTGTAATATCTGAAAATTTAGCTCCCTTATTAAAATAACCAAATATTTTGAGTTCATTTAAAAAAACTGTTTAAAATTTCTTACGGTATTTAAATAACCAAATTTTTATGTAAAATTTTTTAATTACTAAAGTTATATGTCCAAAAATTATGTATAGTTTTTCAATTACTAAAAATTTATGCACAGCTTTTGGTGACTTCACTTAACGGTATAGTCGTTAAGCAAAACAGATATGTATTTTAAAACAATGAAATAAATGTGAGTCCGGCTTTACAATTACAAAAATTAATGAATATTTATGTTCAGTTATTTAATAACCTCATTTATATTTTATAATAACCACAATTGCCCAAACGACAAAAATTATGTACAATTTTCAAATTTATGGTCAGTATTTAAATAACCAAATTGTTCTACCCAGTTTTTAAGTTACCAAGAATATGGCTAGTTTAAATATCTGAAAATTTATGTCCTAAATAAAAATAACCAGATATTTATAATTTATAATCATTATCGAAATGCCGAACAATTTTTGATTTTATTTAAAATATCTAAATTTTGATGTAAAATTTTTAAATAATAAAAAATTTATTGTCCCGAAATTATGTATAGTTTTTCAATTAATCAAAATTTTTGTCCAATACTTAGTTAATCAAATTTTTGTGTTACCACGAAGAATGTTTGACTAATCTAAAATGACAAAACGTTTTAAGTAAAGTTCAAAAATTTTCAACTCAAATTCTATTAAACGCAGGAATCTCTAAAGTATTAAAATAGTTTTTTTTTATGTCCGATATGTATGTATATTTTAGATAAACGAAATACTAGCTATTCGTTTCATAAATATATTTATAAATAAAATCTTGGTTTTCATTAAAAAATAACAAACGTTTCACACTTAAATTCGTTTTTCTTAAAACCTACTAGAATACTTCAAAATATGAATAGCACAAAAGTACACGTCCAAATAAAAGCAACGCTAACGACTTCCGCCATCTTCGCACCATCATTGCCGCTGCCGTTTTCATCAACTCCGTCCTGTACATCTTCCCACCAAGTCCATTCGCCATCGTACAATTGTGGATCAGAGTTTGGATCTAACGGTTTGTTATTTGGCGCATGCGCCGTCTCACAGAAATGCGCCACTCGCTTCAGTAGCTCCTGCACCAACTTACTACCATTCATGGCTGGATATAAATTATTTTGCTCACAAGGATCTACATCGATATCGAAGAGGCAAGGCGCCACCAAAGGATCACACGCTACACCATGTGACGCATTAGCCAGTTGGCAATTGATCGCTGCATCCTCACGCAATTTGGTTATGTTGATTGTGCGCGGAGCCAGCGCGCCTCCTTTCGCATTGATCTCGGCTAGATGTTGCCAAACTGTAGTATTCATTATGACCTCCTCGTAGTGTGCAGCGCGTGGATCCAACTCATCGTTGCTCTCATTGCTACGCGTCCCTATCCAATCATCGTAGATGCCATCATATGTAGTGCCATTAATAAGTTTCCATTTTCCCTTGCCATATGAAATATAATTGCTGATCTGATCAATGTTGTGCACAATTTCACGCTCCACCGAATTGTAGCCATATTTTAGCGCGGACCAAAGATTGAGGCCATCGAGTTTCATTTGTTGTGAGTCGAGTGGTATGTTGGCCGCTGCCGCTAATGTGGGCAACAAATCGCCGATATAGAAGTGTTGTTTCCACACAGTGCCCAAATGTTCGAGTAGCGGTGACCATATGGCACCCGATGAGCGTATGCCACCCTCCCAGGGTGAGCTCTTTTGCTGTAATGGGAGAAAAAGAAGGTTGTAAGGGTTAATTAATAGCCATAGGCAGGTTAATTTAATGGTTATACTTACGCCTCTGAGTGGGTAATTGGAGGCTGTAGTTGCGTGCAGGCCTATAGTCGGGCCACCGTTGTCGGAAAGAAAGATCAAAATTGTGTTATTGAGTATGCCTTTTTGGGCGAGCGCATCAATCACGGAAGCTACAGATTGATCGAGTTTGGAGACCATAGCTGAAATGGAGAATAGAAAAAAATTAGTTGCATTTCAGAAATGAGCAGGGCGAAGTGTACATAGTTTCCGACTGGTCAGAGTAATAATTGAGGATGTCTCTATATGATGCTAAAGCAGCCACCACCTCTAAAGGGATGCACAGATCTTTGCCGTCAAAGAGAATACCAATATTTATGCTCTGAAAAAAGTTTATACTGCAGCAGGTTTAATCTAGGATAGACTCGTAGCGTATATGTAATACTCCTATATTGGCAGTAAGAGCTAGTACCGTCCGAAAACACTACAGTACAGATATATCATTAAACACGTACGAAAGAAAAGGAACACATACGTTTATAAATAAACATGTACAAAAAACGGCACTCAAGTACACAATACATTGACAAAAACGGTACTAGACTGTCTCGCTCTGATTTCGGAATGCTTACACATTGAGAAGTTAGCTTACTGCCAATATAGAAGTATTACATATATGACTCGTAGATACCGCAAGTGCGTCCTACATGTGCAGAAGTACCGACAGCGCAACAAAGGTCGCCGCGTTGTCTGAATTTGGAAAAACTGAAGTTTAGGCAACACCACCAGCACCGAAAAAATGATAGCGTAGCAATGGCAGCGTTTGTCCTGCCTTTGGAGGTGAACAAGCACCAGCGGAAATATCTCGTGCCATCAAGCGAATGGTGAGCGCATTCGAATGAAATATTCTGGAAAAGATATACGGACCTTTATGCGTCATCTTCACGTATGGGCCAAAGGTGCACGGCAGAGTTAGAGAAGATGTGTGTAGCTGAACTCCCCGCGTATCTCATGTTTAGGCTGCCGGTTTTTTGTAGCATTTTGCAGACAGAGGTGCCTAACTACGCAGCAGTATATTACGGAATGGTAAAGGAAAAGCAGTTATCTAGCAGCGCTCTTAGTAAGATCGAAACTGACCGGAGAAGGCCTGACCTCACTTTCGATTGCCAAGGATGAGTTCTAAATCAAATTTATTTGGGTCGCAGAATAAATATTATTGTAGGAAACTGCAGGGCAGAAGAAATGGCTAGGCAGGGTATCGTAGAGGGCACCTCTCCAGATAGGAAAGGAACAGCAGTTCCTGGTATTACCTGTGGTGTTGAACGCAGTTAAGGCAACTTCTGCAGCTGTGTGGTAAACTCTCAGCTTTGACAGATTTCCTGAGCGGGAATTGTTAATTATAAACAAATGCGGTACGATTTAAAATCGTAACGGACCTCATAGCCGCAGTTATATGGAGGCTGACGCAATGTAATCCTCAGTGTTTCCTTCTCAGTTGACCTGTTATCGCTATACCAAGTAAGGTTAGGTTAAATTATCTTGAGTGCCCTTATCCCGCACAGGAAAAGGGCATAATGGGTTCATTGTGATGCTATATTAGATACTTTGCTCTTACCTTAGAAATGGAACTAATTGGTGAAGCGCACAAAGTCGTATATACTGGTTGCATCCAGTTCAGCCAAACATTCCAAATATGACTGTAGGAATGAGCCTCGACGAGCCCTCGCCAAAGCGAAACAGTGGCATAGGGTTCGGTATGCTTTTGATTTCCTCCTCATCACGGCAGATAAGACAGTAGTCGTTTGACTACAAACTCATTCCAGCAGTGTGGATTCCTATCAGCGCAGTGCCGTGCAATAAAGGAAGCTGTAACCGGACAATTTTCGTTTTTTTTTGTTTTACAGAACCATGACCGTTTTTGCCGGAATAAGGTATCCAGGACGCATAAGGTGCCTTGAACTAACTAACACAGAACTTGGGGGTTCTTAACAACTGCCGCAGGGGCAAGATCACCGTAAGCAATGGCCTGACAACCTGTACCAAGCAACCGTGGCAGCAGAGTATTCACCATTAGATTCCAAAGGTTTGGGGGGGACACCGCCTTGGCGGGTATGTTGACAGCCAGAGAACTTATCTATATAAATTTCTTGTTGAATCCGTCTTTCCGCTTTCCAGAACCTTGAGAAAGAAGGAAGTAAGGCTTACCTGTCGAAAGTCTCTTGGCTCATGGGGGGGGGGGGGTCTACCTCCCTTTCGCCAGGGTCCCACCCTTGGGCACTAAACTAAGTTTAAGACAAGCCTTACAGATTAAGTCTAGTGTCGGACATAAAACGTCAGACGTTGACCGAAGTTCGGCAGTGCAAATACCGTACGTGCCTGTTGATTTATAGGGAAGGACTTTATGGCTCTTAAAGTCATTGAATTCCACTGAAGCATTTCCCCAGGAGATAGCGACCAGTCGCCATTTGGCTTATAAGTATTGGTTGGTCGCGGATAGAGCGCTTTCAAGCTTTGTAGACATTTAGGATAGAAATCTGGAACGAACTTCGCAAGCGGGCAAGCTGATGCCCACTATCGCAGAAGTCCTTACAGCAGTCCCTTCGGACTTTGCTGGTCGCATTTCTTCAGGACTGCCTCGTATGCATTTTAAAACCCATCACTCTTCGCCGCATTAAAGAGCTTAACTATATAAGTTATACTAAGGTTTAAACATCTCAGCTTATACATACAACAAGCTTCAAATGGATTATCTGCAGTTATCATTCTAACTAGGAAAAATTTTTAAGTAGTAATGCAATGGGCAACTTCGGAAATGCCGAAGTGAGTTTTTTTCGGGTGCTACCACCATAACCAACCTAATTTAGCGGTAGAGCTCATTAGAAAAATTAAGTATTTGCAAAATTTCTTAGGAAACATGAACATAAAATACGTATAATTATTTTATGATGCACTAGTCAGGTAGATTTTTTCAGTCGAGCCTAATGCTTATGTACGTATGTACATATGTTTGTATTTGTTAGGTTTGTCTACATTCTATATTCTATATTCATTCATGCTCTTGACAAAAAGCGCACTCTATTTCCCTTCCCACCAACTCACCTGCATACGTTCGCCTTTGCGCATCTTTAATATATGCAAATTTCTCTACTTCCTCAGGAGGCGCCTGTAATGGATCATCCTCATCGCCGGTATGCGGCGCCAGTTGGCTTAGTAGCAAAAATAAGGGTTGTTTGTGGGCATCATGTTTGCTTATCACTTTGGTTGCTGCTTCGGTGAGCAGATCGGTGACATAGGTACCAATATATTCGCGCGATACAGCAAGATTGTCACGGAAATCGTGACCGCGTGATAGATTTTTGTACTAGAGAAAAATGTTTATTACTCATAGTTAGTAATTTGTTTGCTATTCGAATTTGCCGATGCAACTGGCATTTTTGTTATTCAAATTTTAATTTTGTAAATACGATAAGAATAGCAAAAAAATATTAATTTTTAGTTATATGTAGCTACAGAAATATTAACTTACCGTAGCATCCAAGGTTTGAGCATAGTAATCCACATAGGCACCCAAGTAGCCGAAATGTTGATCGAAGCCTCTCCTCGTAGGCGTATATGCTTTGCGTGACATACCCTGATGCCATTTCCCAATAATACTCGTATAGTATCCGTGCTGTTTGAAAATCTGTGCCATTGTTGTTTCATTCAGCGGAAGACCCCACGGCTCATAGTTTGGTATGACGTAGTGTTGCATGCCTGGAAAAGTAAAGCGATTTGTTGTACATAGTTTGTTTTCGTTTAGATACCTCAATTTAATCTAAATTATTAAATATCTATAGAGAAGGTGGAGTTCAAATGGTTGTCTTAAGGTTCAGTTTACTGAGACATTGTGGTACGACTCTTTCTCCCGGTTTCTGACAGGCCTAGAACTGCATAAGTCTTGTCGTATAAATGGATGCAAAAGCTCTGGAGTTGTTCCTGTAAAGATCAAATGAGGAAAGCTTTGACGGAGCTTTGGATTTCTACCTTCTGCAGGGTGGAACGTGAAATAAAAAACAAAAGTCTTTCGTAAGTCAATTGTCAATTCTGGCAACTATCTTGAAAGCTCTGTTCAGTCTTTCGAAAGACTAATTGAGAAATTTGTTTACGAGGAGGTCTTACCGATGCTTAGTTTGTCTTTTAGCGAGCAGTTTTCTAAAAAATTAAATTAAATAAAAAAATATATTTTTCTCTTTCAAAGAACAAAAACTGAAAAAAAAATTGAATTAATAATAGGAAAAAAGAACTGTAATCAGTTTCTACTAAAAAAAAAGTTTCTTAATAAAAAAATTAAAAAAAAAAATGAAATTTAAATAAGAGATTTTTTTAATATATTTATTTTTTCGTGTTTAATATACTTTTGTTTTAATTTTTAAGTTTTAGTTTTTCAAAAAGTGAAACTTTGTCTGCGGGCAAACCTCTTTTAAGCTCTCTATACTTAACGTATACATAGAAAGCTTGAAAGAGATTTTCCCGCGAGCAGGCCGGTGCCCACCACCGATTTGGAACATAGATACTCAAGTGCTTTCTGTCAAAAGATCTTTTCACCATGAAAGTTTGCGCGGGAGCTTTTTTTTGTATTACTTTCGTGCCAGAATAAACGAAACCTTTAAAACTATCTTGTCTACTGTTTTTCAAATGTCTCACAAACGGCTTGCCACTATCTTAGCCAGAATTGCCCTGTAAGATGTACAGACATAAGTTAGTAGGCGCCTAGACGTATGCTGATAAAAACAATACAACCAAGTTAAACATCCTTCGTTTCGAATTCATTCAAAGGTCAAAGTTCTTATCGATATCTTTGGTGCGAAAATGAGCAATGTCTGCATCTCAGTAAGAAAGCTGCGCAGGAATTTTGAAATCTCTCGGGAATAGTGTACACACGTGTGCATAAAAAATACCTTAAAGTGCGAGCAAACAGGACTTTTTAGTCCGCTGTGAATCTTCTATTGACATAATTTAATTTAATTGCCTTTCCCCTGCAAGGAATAGTTGAAATTTTAAACTTCTTCTACTAACTCACCTGTGTGTATCGGATATTTTCCGGTTAGCAGCGCCGATCGAGAAGGCGAGCACATATCTGGAGTATAAAGATTTTGCAAAATAACGCCACTATAGGCCAAAGCATCGATATTTGGTGTAAGGAATTGATTGGAACCACGAAAGCTGACATCATCGACACCCTGGAAAATGTTAAGCAATCATATTTACGTTTGGTAAGTATATAGCTTATAAATAGGTATGGCTATGGTTATAGGTATTGTGTAAATAGGGGCTGCTGTAGGCGCATATAGTACTTACCAAATCATCTGCCAATATAATGACTATATTCGGTCTGTTGTCTGTTTGTGCAGCCGTTAGCGCATTGTAATACAATAAAACAATGGGCAATAGTTCGGCAAAATTCCATAAAAACTTATGCATTGCTAAATAAGTTATGTTAAAAAACGAAGGGACTTGCTATAGAATTTTGTTGCTATAAATATCACCCAGTGTTTGGCCTAGAACAGTTGTAGATAAGAGATTTACCGAATTGGCGTGTAAGTATGTAGTAAACAGGCGCCGTCAAAGCTCATGTCATCTCGAGCAACTGTACACATACAAAACAAAAAATGTTTAAGTAGCAGATTTAACTAGCTTAAAATAGTAATATATAAAAATTCGTTTTGGAAGATTTAAAGATTTATTAACCTTTTCTAAACTTATTCGCAGAGCTGTAGAAATATGGCCACATATCTATAGTGTATGTATTGGGTCATATGAAAAGACTCAGCGGATTTTTTTAAGCAATAATATCTAAGGAAAAAAAATAAAATATTTATAAAAAAGTCAGGCACCTAAGTTCCTAAACATTAAATAAAATTATAAAAATATCGCTCTAAAAATTCTAAATATTAAGAAAAGAAGGATAAAAAGAAAGCATGAATTTTTTTTTAACAATAAACTACAAAAAAAAAAAAATAAATTAACAAAGAAAAAAATTTTAATTTAAAAATTGAAAATAAAATTAATGGAAAAAAATTAGTTAATTAATTAAAAAAACAAAAATACATAAAATAAGTCTCTGTAGAAATATGTCACATATTTAAAGTGTGTGTATTGGGTCATAAAAAGAGTATCCGCGAATTTTTGGGTAACTTAAAAAAATATTTTCTTATTTAAAAATCAATTTTATCCGAGTTAGTCATTAGCCATTATTATCAGGACCTTCATTCTCCAACCGATTTGATTAATTTTTTTCTATTTAGATGAAAAAGCTTGTAAAATTTAGAGGAGATTTGTGGAGTACGATTGTGAATTTTTATTTGTTTATATTAAATTGTTTACCCTGTTTCTGTAAATAAAAATTAAATAATAAATACTAGTTGAAATCAAGTACAGGGCTACCCAAAAATAAAAAAAAAGAATGGAAAAGTAAAATTTTAAATTTGGGGGAAAATTTAATATACTAAGAAACAAGTTGTAAGAAATCGCGTTGGTTTTTGATATTGTTTTGTTGAAATTTCGAGCACACTTTATGGGAAAAATGCCTGTCGCAAAAAAAATCGAATCAACGCTAAAACTAAAACTTAATAGGCTATAAAACTGCATATCTAAGATTTTTTTCAAATAAAAAAAATTTATTTTGGTGAAATTTGTTTTATAACTTTTTAAATATTCCTGCTGCAATTTGTTTGGCATATCCCTATAATTGTTTTCGACTAGTGTTTATTATCATAAATCAAATATTTTGAACAGTAAATTCCAGTTTGGAACCACTGTGCGCCATTGACATTTTCTTTAATAGAATGATTGGCCCGGTTTTTTCAAAGGGGTTTCCATCATTTTGATTTTTCCAATATCGAATAAACCGGATTTTTTTTCGTCGAACAACCCGGTTTTTTATTTCATACAAATCTTGACCTCTCCATAAAAGTTTTGACTTTTTATAAGTTTTCTAATCTTTTTCCAGTTTAAGAAACCCCTAAAGAGTTTTAGAATTATATTCTAGCTTATTTGGGGGTGAACAGTATATCATATTTGATTTTAACAAATGAATTTTTGGCGCTTGAACGCTTTCTACATGTTTAGCCGATGTGCTCTTCTTGATGTTGTTCTACTTAAATCCAAAAAAGTAATAAATTGGAATTATTATAATTTGCTCTTTTCTAGCCAACTGTATTCACTGTATGAAAACTGTATAAAATAAAACCGATTTATCTGGTTTTTTCTTAATCTCAAAATCAGGAACTGTGTTTTTTTCAAATTGCAATTTGTCGAATAACTCAAAACCCGGTTTTGGAAAAAAGGCGAATAGTCGGAACACCCTAGTCAAGGATGGTACATAAGTCCTTTTCTGTCTTTGATTGCATCATGCTACAGATGTGAGCACCCGAACAGACATTTTCTTGATGCGGAGCCTAAAGATAGGTACGTCAGAAAGAATCTCTATGAGCTGAAGGACGAGGTCCAGGACTATGTACAGCAACCGCTGTACCCGGAACTTTACAGACAGTCTATTAACGGTATTCATAGCTTCAACTTCGGCGAATAGACCCACGTAACTCTTCATATTGTAGCCGCCTCAACTCCTACGACCTCAACATCTTCAAGGAGTGTCCAGCATGCGGAGATTGGCACCACGACACCAACCAGCTCTTCACATGCCCACCCAATTCAAATCAAGTAACACCCCTCTTCCTCACACCACAAAATGACAAAAATCCGCAGTCTTTTCATATCATCGTTTAAAGTACAAAATGGAAAACAGAGAGTAACACTCATATTTCTGGTTCTCTTTTTTGTAAAGCAATCGCATTTCTGGCTAGTACACTCAGAAAAAAAATTCATTGAAGCTAGGAAAAAAGTATATTATTCTAAGGAAATATTGCCTTGTAATTCCTCCAATGACATGGCTGCCTTAACAAGAGTAAACAATTTGACTCAGTTTAAGGGAAACACAATTCCTTAATTTTTAGAGAAAGTTTACTTGCCACCCGTGGAAGGAATAAGTATGTCATTTTGCTAGCGGCGCTCAAATAGTGGCAATGGCCGAGAGAGCACAGCTCTGGATTGCTAGTCGAGAGAAGCAAGGTTCGAGTTCCAGAGCAGGAATTTTTTTTAAATATTTTTTATTTTTTTAATTGTAATTTTTTAAGTTGTATTTAAAAAAATTTGTCTCATTTATTTTTTATGTTATTTGAGTATTTAGGTTT